TATATATATATATATATATATAAAATGCACGCGCACAACCGTGTACCCGCTCTTGAGAGGGAAACCCTAGTAAATGTGTGTGATAGTGATGTGCAATGCAAACAGCAACTTTTAAAAAGAGCGTGCACGAGGAGAAATGGGCTTATGTACACTCTGTTTAAAAGTTGCTGTTTGCACCATTCATAGAAGCTTACTTTCCAAAAGAAGATGTACAATGTTTCCACTATGTCAGACTCACCACCTGTAAGTGAAAATGGGGACCAACACGTCGGACGGCCTTACGTAAACATATCACCAGAATGATTAACAATTAGGAAAACAACTTATTTTGATGATCCACCTGGGAAAAGAACATCCTCCACTATACCTTTAAAGGAAAAAAAAAAGAACTACTCAATGTGTGAACTGATGAAGAACAATCACTGTCTTAACAGTGTTTTATCCATCTCTAATTCTTTTTTCTGTTTTTCCGTTTTATTTAACCCCTCAGGTGAAGCATGGCCCAACGTTTACTGTCTCTATTAAAGGCGTAGCTGTAGCTCCCAGCGTTGAGTTCTCCTTCACCAAGTTCGATTTTGGGAAGTGCTTCCTGTTCTCTCCGGGAATGTCGCCATCATCACAAACTCTTATCATTCACAACAAGGACACAAAGGAAGTCAGGTGAGTGTCACTGCATTTTCCTTTTAACTGTGGATAGTGACTGTACCTAAAACTGGTGTTCTGTCAGACCAGCATACCCACAGTCAAGACGTTAGGTTTTGCATTTATCCCTTTAGTTTTGTATGAAAAATAGACTTTAAACTACCTCAACGGGTGTGTATCCCTCTATTCCTCAGAATTAAAGGTGAGATCGCCATATGCTTCTAAAAACACCAAAAAAAAAAGCAATTATATATTTTTTTTGTACATGACTAAAGGGATAAACGCCCAATGAGGTAGTTCAATTCAATTCAGTTTATCTCTATAACGCCAATTCACAACACATGTCATCTCAAGGCACTTCACAGTTCAACCAGATTAGATAGTCAAACTGACTCAAAGTTTTCTATCTAAGGAAAACCAGTTGATTGCATTGGCCATCTGCCGAGGCCGACTGGGGTTCAAGTTCAAGTCTATTTTTCTTACAAAGCTAAAGGGATAAACTAAAGGGATAAACGAGTTTTGACTATGGGTATGCAGACATCCCAAGTCTGCCGGAAGTTCGGAGTGTCTCCCTGATATCGATAGTTGGATAAATGGGCGGATAAATTATCCCGGATTTTAGACTATTCGAGGTGGTGTTTTTTTAATCGAGTGAGATCTTTTTTATCGTTATCTCCTCTTTCTTCCATCTTTTCTTCTTTTTTTTGTTTTCCCTTTCCTGTTTTACCTACATTGCAATGTCCATATAATCTGTAATACTCCCTGTATGAATTATAATAAAGCTATTTATATACATAAATCAAGCGGAACACTATGGCGATAGCCGTACTGCTCCACTTGTGAAAGCAAAATCTGTTGGGCTCTTTTTGGCATCAAGACAATTATTGCCACATCGCCATACAGGACACTGTTAAAAATAATAGATAAAAATAAATAATGCACGTGAGAGCATGCAGGTATCCAACTAGTGCGGATAAGAACTACTTCGATTGCGAAGGCACAAAGAGAGAGAGTGGGGTGTGGGGAGGAAGTCGCTTGTGAAACCTGTGCGTTTCTGTCCAAAGCGATGCTCTGTTCAAAGAGCGTTCCAGGCGACTGGTTGTCAGAGAGCGAGCTGATTGGTTTAGTCCGAAAAATAACCAATATGTTTTTGTTTACCTTCTGGCAGTCACCTAGTTTCCACTCAAAGCTGTGCATCCTGTGAAAAAGTGAAAATATAAGACTAATTTTACAGCAGAATATACTAAAGTATATCCATGTCTAGTGAAGGCTGAAGAATGATGACACCGTGTTGAGGTGGCCTGTATGCTTAAGTCCCATGAAAAACAGAAAGCACAACAAATGTTCTAGGCTGGAAGATTGAAAGTATTGAAATTTATTAAAGACCAATACGGTTCAGTTTTGTGCTTAAGAAATTACTGATAGTTAATAAACAGTTGTTGAACAGTCGCTGGCCTTAAGTGTGTATGTACCTTTGAATGCATGTTTAGTTCCCACAACCTGAATTTACTGTAGAGCCTACTTTTATAATGACTGTCACTTTTATTTTAGAGAACAGTATTTGTCAGTGAATTTCCAAACATTGCTTTGCTTTCACTCCATTGCACACAAATGGACACAGCACAATGTAGAAAAATCATCATCTGATTCATGGTGTTAAAAATGAACCCTTTTAAACACTGTTTTCATGTATTTTTCTTAAATCAGTATCAAATGTCAGTTCAAAAACACGGCATTCTTGGAGGTGGACTTCCAACCAGATGTTTTGGGACCTGGAGCTGTGATGGAGGTACCGATCACCTTCTATCCCCAGAGGACTTGTCACTACAGTCGAAAGCTCACCTTCGTCTTAAACGGCTGTGTCACCAGACATGTGGACATAGAGGGACACGGCACTGACTTAAAGGTAAGAGAGGAGAGTCAAGCTGTAGGACTCTGAGCATCCTGCCCTGCTGTTGCTTTGAAAAGTACAGTAGCAGGAATTCATAATGGCTCTTCCCAGTCAAACACCAGCTGAATGGCAGCCCACTTCCCACCAACTCCCAGCAAAATCCCCTCCAACTTCCAGCCACTGGGGTAATTGGGGGAATCAATCACCCTTTTTCTATCATAATTTGTTCTTCCACTTAGCTTTCTAATACTATCTCTGGATCATTGTGGCCTGCGTGCCACCTGGGAGGGGTCAGTTACTCCTCTGGAGAGCTGCTCAGTTAGCAGCCTTTCTCACTCTTTGATAGAACATAACATGACTTTTTATTCCTTGTATTAAATAATCCAACTGTTAGAGAACCTAAATCGTTGGTTTTGATCAGTTGTGGTCAATATTGAGTCGTATTAGCAGAAGTAAATGCTTAGAATCATGGATCTAAGTATAAGTCATGTTCTTTGAATTGGTTCCTTTGATAATGACTTCAGATCCAGCTTCTCATTTTTTTCTAAATTACTCCTTGTGTAATATGACTGTTTTCATGACCATAATGGATATCTTTCTGTTCCAGCTGGAAGTCAAGGATCCCCAACAAAAAAGGGTGAAGCTGGGATCTCTGACTTTGGGTCAGAAGGTGAACAAACAGTTGGTTCTAATCAACCGCAGCCTCTCAGACATTTCTTTCACTCTAGCACTAAAGACAAATACTCCCCTGGATTCAAAGGTAATGAAACAAACACGGCAACATTGACAGGAGTCCTGTAAAGCCGTGTTTAACCAATGCCTTTCTGCCCTTAGGACCTGTCTATCATTCCAGCAGGTGAACTGATACTGAAATCTGGTGGCGGCTCCTGTAATGTTGAGATTCAGTTCTCACCACAGCACTGCATCCCTCCTTTCTCTGCTGAGCTGCAGGCAAAGTTTGCAAGCTTCTCCCACCCCCTGCTGACCATCGAGGGCTGCTGCAAGGTTAGCTGAAGTCTGCCAACATAAAGCCTTAATCCCAAACCGCATCCTAACCAAACCACTAACTATCAACTTTCACTTGCATTAAAGTCACACTCACAGCTGTGGAAGGATTGTACGTGGGGGTTATAAACGTGAATAGGACGGCCTCTTCACTCCAACCGAAAGGGAAAACAATCGTTCCTATGGCAACATAGTGACGCCACTTGTGTTGCTCTGTGAGCAGGTTAACATCAAACATTTGCCATTCTGTTTAAAATAAATCTAACCATTTAGATAAAACTATTAAAAAAAGGACCTCAATTTAGGGATTAACGACATCTTTTTTCTTTTTCCTAACTCTGATTTTTTCTCAATGTGAAGAAGATGCAGCAAACCAGCAGAAGTTTTATTTAAATGCCGGTGTTGCCTCCACCACTAGTTTGCCGTTACACCCGCTGCCAAATTTTAGAGAGTCTGCGCTGATGCAGACTTGGTATGTCAGGGCTGAACGGTCCACGGTCACAGTGATTTAATGAATTCAGCATTAATCAGTGAAAAAATAAAAATAATAATTCTGTCATGATCGCTGAGTCTGGGAGCGGCCATTTTTGCCCAAATATAGTAACACCTCACTCCTGCCATCAGTGACGTCACGGTGCGGTAAGCCTAGCGCCATTCTCCTAACTTTACAAGCAAAATCAATGGGAGCTATGAGACATGTCTGCAATCAACAACAATTATTGAAGATTTCCAGAGGACTTCACCATTGAAATTCACCAGAGCTATAGTGAAACTGACAATGCCCATGTGCATGGCAGGTGGATGTTGGAATACATCGAGTAAAAGTGGAAAAAAAATGAGTAATTTCACCTTTCCGATTCATGATCCTCCACGGACGGGTTCATCTTTGGATTGCCAAATTAAAGAGGGAGGATTTACCACCAAACTTCTGGCCAGTGAAAAAACACATAATATGTAGCCAACATTTGGAAGAAGAATGTTCTCAAGTTGACTTGGATAATACCGCGTTGTGACAAACATCAGATACAGCACTGGGACTTTATCAACAGCCGATACCGCACCATGACGTCACTAACCAGTTGGTGGCAGTAGTGTTTCAAATGAAAATGACTCTTAATTAAAAAAACGTATCATTTATTGAAAAGTATGTAAAAATTCCATGTTTAAAGTACTTTCAAAAGTTTGAATTCTAAATATGACCGGACTTTTCCTTTAAAGGCATTTTGGGATTGGGCCAAACACCTAAACTGCTTATTGAATATTTCCAAACTAAACCGTGAAAGCCACTCCTTTAATATTTCTAGTTAAATAAATATTTGTTAGTAATTCATTGTATTAAACTGCCAGGGGGTGGAAGTCCATTTGGACAGGAACCATGTGTCATTTGGAGCCGTGGTCCAGCACTGCAAGGCCAGCACTAAGATTGTCATGATGAGCTCCGGTGCTGCTGCAGCCAGGTAAAGTGAAATACTAATGTTGTTCAGAACCACCTAATGTCCAAAGAAGCTCACACCAGCTCTGCCTGGATCTGCTCTCTGCTTTTGTTCCGGCCAACAGATTTCACTGGCAAACAGATTTACCGGCAGAGTTGTCCATCAAACCGATGAAAGGATACATCCTCCCAGACAAAGACGTGACCTTTGAGATGACCTTTGCCCCTGTGAAACTCAGTGATGACATACGATATGAGAATCTGTCCTGCTTCATCGAAGATTCCTCCCCCGTTGACCTGACGGTCACAGGCTCCTGCATTCCAGCCTCTATCAACAAAGAGGTTAGAGTCAAATCTGTCTCACTTTTTCTATCTTTGAGAGACTTAAAGTTTAGTTAAATGACATGAAGGCCTTTTAGTTCTTATTTTTGCTTGTTTGTAGACTGTTGTGCACTTATAGTCATTAATGTTATTGATATCTAATGAATTAACATTTTAGTCATATTTTGTCCCGTGAACGGTAGGGGTGTAAATCACATCCATCATGGCCATTCGATTCAGTATCGATTTCCTGACCCAACGATTTGATTATTTTCGATACTCGAGAATACAAGAATATAACAAGAAGCGAGGTAGGAGGGAAAAATAGGTTTAGCGCCACCGCAGCACAGGAGGGAGAATTACGCCCAGGAGCAAATGGATAAAAATAGACCGGAGAAGAAAAAAAAATGAATCAATACTTTTGCGGACGTATCAATGCATCGGATCGTCGGCTGTTGGATCGATGCATCGATACATAACGAATATTATTTACACCCCTAGTGAACGGTTGCTTGAATGACTGTTAGGTTAACAGCTGAAAGAGTTAATTCCAGCCTGATCATGGTCAAACGGCAAAAAAAAAAAAAAAACATATTGAATACATTTAAAACTACTTCCATTTAAACTGTAAGAATATGTGGAAAAAATTATTACACTCCAGGTTCAACATAATCCAGTTAAAAACTCATAAGCCGAGCGTCATTGCACGATATTTTGCCCCTTTTGGGCTGATTCTCCAGTCGTCCGAGAAAGTTGGCCTGTGCCGACTCTAACTGTAGTGTGTCGTGTAGTGAACAGGGGGTAACGTGGGGCGATCAGCCTCTCACGACTACCTCCCCATCAGGAATCGTGAGGTCAGGTGAAAATCAAACATGTTTAAAATTTAGTCGGCTGTCGTAAGGTCATCGTGGGAAAATCGCTCAGTGCGCAAACAAGGATTCTTCTTCTTCTTCCTCTCAGACGAAAACACAGAAGCATGGCAGGGGTGCGAGTGAAATGGAGTTCTTTTTGTGAAATTGATAGACCGTAGTAGCCACGTTAACTCAGCCATGTCTTTGTCCAAGTACCTTGTCACTTTTCTTTTTAGGGCTTTTCAGCACAAAATTGCACAAATTGCCAAGGCAGCGCGTTTCACTCTAGAGAGCTTCATATTTCTCTTCTACTCTTTTGGCGTCTGGATAGACAAGTCAGAGTAGTGCCATCTCACTGCAGAGCTGAGTCCGACGTGGTTTTTAGACAATGTGTGCAGATAGATCGCATCAGAGTGTCAGGTCGCACCGTGTGAGAACATACATCGCGAGCTGTGAACTTTTAAACCTTATGGTTTCGTCGTACAGTGTGAGCTGTAGCTGCGTGCAACGATGGGAAAAAATCATACAGTGTATGGCCGGGTAAGGAGGGTCCATTTATGCTTTTATGTTTTTGTTTTCTTTCACTTGACTTCAAAGCCAAACCAATTCATCTGTTAGGATGGCGGCCATTTTACGCCACCGCTGTATCTCACCAATTCAAGAAATCAATAAAGTCTCTGATATGTCAGACATTAGCTAAGTCAGAGAGGCTGCTAACCTGAGCAGATTAGCTGCTGTAGCCACGTTGCCTTTACTTTGAGCTGATTTTTCATGCTCTGCCTAATACACACCCTCTCTGATTGGAGAAAGTAGCCGTTTGTTTACTGTGCAAGCACAGCGTGGTTAAGGTAGCTGCTACCTGCTGGGGCCACTGTTACGTAGCTATTCTCCAATCGCAATTTTTTTTCACAGGATATTAAGGGGCTTCTGTTTAAGCTTTATTTTTATGTTATTTAAGCCCTTATTATTCATGTTTGAGGTGTCAGAGCATCAGAATTATACATGATTAATGCATAATTGATTAAAACCTTAAAAGGAAAAATCTTGGAAGTATTGTTTGTATTTACTGTTTTTCTTCAGGGGTTGAATTTTGCTTGTCGCGTTCGAAGCTGTCAAACTCAGAGCCTGTCCGTTACCAACCCGTCCAGTGAGCACTGTACCATCAGACCTGTCATCACGGGTGAGCAGTGGAGTGCTGCTCTCCTTCTGACCTTTGAACCCAACCAAAGCAAGACATTTGACATCACATATAGACCACTGACCGTAACCGCTGATGGCCAAAAACACCTGGTAACGAGAAGAAATGCTTCAACGAAAATATTTCTGTGTACATGGATAATAAATCCAATGTGTTCTGTTAAGGTGTTAAAAACAGAGTTGTGATATTTTTTCACAGGGATCAGTTTTTTTCTCCTTTCCTCTTGGAAGGGGAATGCTATTCAACCTGCAGGGAACAGCTTCTCCTCCCAAAGCAGAGGACACTATCACCTGTGAGCTGCCTGCCAAAACTAAACACGATCAGGTCCTTGAAGTCAACAACTGGCTCTCCAAGAAACAGAGGTAAAACTATGTGACTCTTATATATTATCTATTATCTTATACATCTTGCCAAACTGAAATCTCTCATTTATTTGTTTACATCTAAGAGGTCTGACTTTCCATTAGTCTTTTAAAGTTTCCTTAATAAAGTCTTTTCACTTGTTGCAAATTAGGATATGCATGTGAGGGCATAAAAGGTCACCTGACTCAGCCAGCCTGGAGGCTCATTTTTTTAAATCAATTTAAACATCATTGTTTAAAGGTAAAAGGGGTTTAGATTGCTTACAAATGCATTTGCACTGGAAAAAGTTGAAATCTAAATAATTCATATTTTCTTAAAATAAGTGCATTTGTTCTTGAATTGAGGAGGTAAGTGAGACAGTTTGCCAACGGAACAAGACAATCTGCATTTGGAGTAAGAAAAACAATTGCATTGTCGTATTTCATGTGCATATTACCTAATTATCTTATTTTAAGAGTTAAAAAAACTAATTCCATTGGCAGGTCATCTTATATGCCTGATTAAATTAACAATAGGCGACAGGAAGTGCCTATTTCACCCCACTGGAACTATAGATTTTAATGCAGTAATTCTAAAAAATTAAAAAGGAGAATGTGTTTAAAAGACAGAGAAACAGTGCTATAGCTACAAAGAAGGGGACGATGCTGAAGAAGAAGAAGTGGGCTATGGCAGGCCATTTTTACATTTAAAAATGGCCTGCCATGTTCCGTTTGTAGATCACTAAAATAAGATTCTTCCTGATAAAAATCACATTCCTAGACTGAACTGTAGTTATTCATTTTTTAAATGACATTTTTGGCCCTTTTCCGCCACAAAGTAAATAATCTATTTATGTGTAATCTGAAAATAACTGAAGTAGCTCTTCATGTGCTGTACACATTATTAAATAAAAATAAAATGATCCGCATCTCGCTCACATTAAACAAACCAAAACCATGCAATCTCATGTCATCCTATCAACTGAGTTGTAGAATCCTCACCCTATAAATATTTAACTCGCTGTGAAAAAGTTCCGATCATTATTTAAAGTCGTAGGGAAATGGCCATTCCAACTGTTGCATTTCTCCTGAGTGGTGCACAACTTTTCACGAGTGAATAAAGTGAATGTGATTGGTAATTTATCAAGATGGCGGGATTGTTGTAGCGAAGGTTCGCAAGCAAGTTTGACTGTAGCCGGTTTTTCAGAAGCATCTTGCTAACCAGTTAGCAACTTAGTGCTAGTAGG